TTTTGGAAACAAAAGGATCCATTTCTTAATGAATTTCACATTCTGAGTTCAAATATAACAATGAAATTTGTCAATTGGCTCTAGTTTTTCTGTAAACGGAAAGTTTTCTACTATAGGCGTAATGACTACATAATGCACAATAATTATATAGATAGATGTCTTTCCACAAATATAAAGCAAGTGATATTGACTACATAACAAAGCCTAAATGGCATAATATATTGCATAGGATTACCAAGAAAAATTATAGCCATAAGCTAAGTTGAATCATTTTAATACTTAGGATTCTCACTAGTTTTGTCTTCAGTTTTTGTGTCGGTTTTGCTTCTCTTGGCTTTTCTCTTGTATTCGAGGAAAGGGCTATCTCTTACAACTGCACGTGACTACACACGCTTCAGGTTCTTCCTCACTTGACTCAACCACGAAGGATTCTGGTGCTTTAGGAATTGGTAGCCCCTCTCCATGAGGAACTGGACGTATTGCCGATGGAATATTTGGATAGTGCACAGATAACTTTTTCTTCTTATTTAGCCCTTTTACAATTGGAGGCACCATACAAAAGTAACAATTACTAACATGATCTGTTAGCTCTCTCCAAATCATTGGCACAGCGAAAGGCATAGATGCCTTTTTTCCATTCAACCATTGCTCCAGTGCCGTCCCACAAGAATTGCAGCATATATGTGGTGCCCAGCTCTTGTCCTGGTCTCCTATCTTGCAGCCAAAATACAAGTTGTAGGCTTTCTTAATTATTCCTGTTATCCTCCTTTTTTGTGAGATAAAAGTTATTTCACCGCAGATATAGCAGAAATTATCTGCTTTATTCACACAAGTTCGAGGCATTACTGAGTAGCCTATATAAGCAGAAAACGAAATGTAAAGACGCTGTGGAACTACAATCAGCTACAGATACTGCAGCTTTTATGCAGTGAAGTGATGCAATTAAAGGCTAATATTGCATCATCTCAGTATACATGACATTTTCTATTGGTCACCAGTATCAATTGCGCAATATGCAGCTGAAGTTGCATCATAATTTTGAATGGCTTACGTCATTAGATGGGTGAATATATCATGGAAACTAGAGCCAATCAACATTTTTTAGGGTCATTTTCGTTTTCAGCACCCCAAAATTATGTAAGATTAGCTAATTTTATGCCCAAAACTTTTTACCTGTTGAACAGTGTAATCAGAGCTCCCCATCACATCAGAGGTTCTCCATCACAACAGAGATCCTGCCATCACATCAGAGCCCCAATCACATCAGAGGTCCTCCATCACATCAAAGTTGTCCCTATGCATCAAAGCCCACCTATACCAGAACCTTCCCATCGCATCAGAGTCTCCCCCATCACATCAGAGTTTCCCAATCACATCAGAGATTCCCAATTATGTTAGAAGTCCCCCCCTTCATATCAGAGTCACACCTCCATTTCAGAGGCTGTCATTGCATCTGATGTCCCCCCATTACATCCAAGGTCCTGCCATCACATCAGTGATCCTTCATCACATCAAAGGCCCCCCGTCATGTCAGAGAACCCCTCATCACATCAGAGGTTTCCCATCACATCAGAGACACCCCATCACATCAGAGGTCCAGCCATCACAGCAGTGGTCCTCCATCACATCAGTGATCCTTCATCACATCAAAGGCCCCCCGTCATGTCAGAGATCCCCTCATCACATCAGAGCCCCCATCACATCAGAGGTTCCCCATCACATCAGAGACACCCCATCACATCAGAGGTCCAGCCATCACAGCAGTGGTCCTCCATCACATCAGAGGCCCTCCAACATGTCAGAGATCCCCCCGTCAGATCAGAAGCCCCCCATCATGTCAGAGATCCCCCATCACATCAGAGCCTTCCCATCACATCAAGGGTACCCCATCACATAAGAGGCCCCCCATCACACCAGAGGTCCTCCCATCGCATCAGAGGTCCCCCTATAAGATCAAAGTCCCCCCTTAACATCACAGCCCCCTATCTCATCAACCCCCCCCCCATTCATGAGAGCCCCTCATCACATCAGAGTTGTCCCTATGCATCAAAGCCCCCCTATACCTGAACCATTAGATTCACACCTCCATTTCAGAGGCCTCCATCACATCAGATTCCCCCTATACATGAAAGCTCCCCCCCCCCCCCCCCATCACATCAGAGTTGCTTCCTATATATCATCTCATAGCTACTGGCCTCTAAGCCTTATCCCTGACTGTGACAGGTGGATTGGCCGCTGTATGGTGTACCTGTCTAAGCATCAGGGACCCAAAGATAGGACCCGCTGCATAGCAGAACCCTTCTATGGACTAGGCCTGGACCAGGGGTGGACTGACAACTCATGGGGCCCCCGGGCAATAGGGGATCATGGGGCCCCTGTGTCCTTGCCCAAACTCAAAAAAACGTATGAAAAAGGTACCAGGGGCATCTCATGGGGCCCCCTACTGACCCCGGGCCCTGGGGCAGTGCCCGAGTTTCCAAATGGTCAGTCTGCCCCTGGCCTGGACCACTAGAGTGCAAGGCCTTGCAAAGTATACAGCAGTTTCCCTCATTGACTTCTGGCTGATTGTAAAGTATAATATGGTGGAACAAAATCAGTGTTTCGTTCAATTTCCATTAACTTGGCTCTTCTCCATCCTCTTTCTTCTCACTCTCCACTACCAAGATTACATGGAATTCTACACTTCGTTCCCCATTCTCATACACTGTAGGATTTCACTTCCACTCTATATTCCCTGTAAATCAGACCGGATGATTAATTTACCCAGCAACTCTGTTTACTGAATAACTGGCATAATCAGACAACTTCTATCTGTGCAGTTCATTCCAACATCCATATGGCAATGCAATAGGCATTAGATGAACAACATTCCCCATTAGCACATGACGGAGTCTTCAGGGCAATGCTGTGGTGTCTCGTACTTTTGGTGTGTAGTAGTTCCCATCTATTGTTGGTTCATTCAATAGTTCCCATCTATTGTTGGTTCATTCAATAGTTCCCATCTATTGTTGCTTTGTTCACTAGTTTCCCATCTATTGTTGCTTCGTTCACTAGTTCCCATCTATTGTTGCTTCGTTCACTAGTTCCCATCTATTGTTGCTTCGTTCACTAGTTCCCATCTATTGTTGCTTCGTTCACTAGTACCCATCTATTGTTTGTTCGTTCAATAGTTCCCATCTATTGTTGGTTCGTTCACTAGTTCCCATCTATTGTTGGTTCGTTCAATAGTTCCCATCTATTGTTGCTTCGTTCACTAGTTCCCATCTATTGTTGATTCGTTCAATAGTTCCCATCTATTGTTGCTTCGTTCACTAGTTCCCATCTATTGTTGGTTCGTTCAATAGTTCCCATCTATTGTTGCTTCGTTCACTAGTTCCCATCTATTGTTGGTTCGTTCAATAGTTCCCATCTATTGTTGCTTCGTTCACTAGTTCCCATCTATTGTTGATTCGTTCAATAGTTCCCATCTATTGTTGCTTCGTTCACTAGTTCCCATCTATTGTTGGTTCGTTCACTAGTTCCCATCTATTGTTGGTTCGTTCAATAGTTCCCATCTATTGTTGCTTCATTCACTAGTTCCCATCTATTGTTGGTTCGTTCACTAGTTCCCATCTATTGTTGGTTCGTTCACTAGTTCCCATCTATTGTTGCTTCATTCACTAGTTCCCATCTATTGTTGGTTCGTTCACTAGTTCCCATCTATTGTTGCTTCATTCACTAGTTCCCATCTATTGTTGGTTCGTTCACTAGTTCCCATCTATTGTTGCTTCGTTCACTAGTTCCCATCTATTGTTGGTTCGTTCACTAGTTCCCATCTATTGTTGGTTCGTTCACTAGTTCCCATCTATTGTTGGTTCGTTCAATAGTTCCCATCTATTGTTGGTTCGTTCAATAGTTCCCATCTATTGTTGGTTGGTTCGTTCACTAGTTCCCATCTATTGTTGGTTCGTTCACTAGTTCCCATCTATTGTTGGTTCTAGAGATGAGCGAATCGAACCAGGCGAAGTGGAATTCGTTTCAAATTTCAGGAAAAATTTGATTCGCGGCGAATCCGAATATTAGCATACTTTGGGTGCGCGAATCGGATTTTTCCCGATCAGCCGGCAAAAGTGTCCCTGCAGAGAGCTCCGCTATTTCTGACAGTTCTCTGACAGTTCCTTCACATTACAGCGGTTGAAAACATTGTATCTATTTGTTTCCATTTAGGATACAGATGTTTTTATTCGGAAATAGATACAATGTTTCAACCGCTGTAAATGTGAAGGAACTGTCAGAGAACTGTCAGAAATAGCGGAGCTCTCTGCAGATACACTTTTTGCTGTACTTCTTTTCTTCTTCATGAAAAGAAGAATGAGAAGAAGAATGAAAAGAAGAATGAAAAGAAGAATGAAAGAATGAAAAGAAGAATGAAAAGAAGAATGAAGAAGAAGAAGAATGAAAAGAAGAATGAGAAGAAGAATGAAAAGAAGAATGAGAAGAATGAAAAGAAGAATGAGAAGAATGAAAAGAAGAATGAAAAGAAGAAGAAGAAGAATGAAAAGAAGAAGAAGAAGAATGAAAAGAAGAATGAAAAGAAGAAGAAGAAGAAAAGAAGAATGAAAAGAAGAATGAAGAATGAAAAGAAGAATGAAAGAATGAAAAGAAGAATGAAAAGAAGAATGAAAGAAGAAGAAGAATGAAAAGAAGAAAAGAAAGAAAGAAAATGAAAAGAAGAATGAGAAGAAGAATGAAATGAGAAATGAAAAGAAGAAGAAAGAAGAATGAAAAGAAGAATGAAAAAGAAGAAGAAAAGAATGAAAAAAGAATGAAAAAGAAGAAGAAGAAAGAAGAATCTTTTCATTCTTCTCATTCTTCTTTTCATTCTTCTTTTCATTCTTTTCTTCTTCTTTCTTCTTCATTCTTCTTCTTCTTTCTTCTTCTTCTTCTTTTTCTTTTCTTCTTTTCATTCTTCTTTTCATTCTTCTTTTCATTCTTCTTTCTTCTTTTCATTCTTCTTCTTCTTCTTTTCATTCTTCTTCTTCTTCTTCATTCTTCTTTCTTCTTTTTCTTCTTCTTCTTCTTCTTCTTCTTCTTTTCTTCTTCTTCTTCTTTTCATTCTTCTTTTCATTCTTCTTTTCTTCTTTTTCATTCTTCATTCTTCTTTTCATTCTTCTCATTCTTCTTCTTCATTCATTCTTCTTTTTCTTTCTTCTTCTTCATTCTTCTTCTTTTTCTTCTTCTTTTCATTCTTCTTTTCATTCTTCTTTTCTTCTTCATGAAAAGAATGAAAAGAAAAATGAAAAAAAAGAAGAATGAAAAGAGAATGAAAAGAAGAAGAAAAAGAATGAATGAAGAATGAAAGAAGAAAAAGAATGAAAAAGAAGAATGAAGAAGAAGAAAGAAAAAGAAGAATGAGAAGAAGAATGAAAAGAAGAATGAAAAGAAGAAAAGAAGAATGAGAAGAAGAGAAAGAATGAAAAGAAGAATGAAAAATGAAGAAGAAAAAGAAGAATGAAAAGAAGAAGAAAAGAAGAAGAAAAGAAGAATGAAAAGAAGAATGAAAAGAAGAAGAAGAAGAATCTTTTCATTCTTCTCATTCTTCTTTTCATTCTTTTTTTCTTTTTCTTCTTCTTCTTTTCATTCTTCTTTTTTCTTCTTCATTCTTCTTTTCTTCTTCTTCTTCTTCTTTTCTTTCTTTCTTCTTCTTCTTTTCTTCTTCTTTTCATTCTTCTTCTTCTTCTTCTTCTTCTTTTCTTCTTCTTCTTTTCTTCTTCTTCTTCTTTTTTTCTTCTTCTTCTTTCATTCTTCTTTTTTCATTCTTCTTCTTTCTTCTTTTCTTCTTCTTCTTCTTCTTCTTTTCATTCTTCTTCTTCTTTTCTTTCTTCTTCTTCTTCTTCTTCTTCTTCTTCTTTTCTTCTTCTTTTCTTCTTCTTCTTCTTCTTCTTCTTCTTCTTTTCATTCTTCTTTTCTTCTTCTTTTCATTCTTCTCATTTTCTTTTCATTCTTCTTCTTCATTCTTCTTTTCATTCTTCTTCTTCTTCTTCTTCATTCTTCTTTTCATTCTTCTTTTCTTCTTCTTTTTCTTCTTTTCTTCTTCATGAAAAGAAGAATGAGAAGAAGAATGAAAAGAAGAATGAAAAAGAAGAATGAGAAGAAGAATGAAAAGAAGAATGAAAAAGAAGAAGAAGAATGAAAAGAAGAATGAAAGAATGAAAAGAAGAAGAAATGAAAAAGAAGAATGAAAAGAAGAATGAAAAGAAGAATGAGAAGAATGAAAAGAATGAAAGAATGAAAGAAGAATGAAAAGAAGAAGAAAGAAGAAGAAAAGAAGTCTTTTAAGAAGAATAAAGAAGAAGAAATGAAAAGAAGAATGAAAAGAAGAAGAATGAAAAGAAGAATGAAAAGAAGAAAAGAAGAATGAATGAAGAAGAAGAAAGAATGAAGAATGAAAAGAAGAATGAAAGAAGAATGAAAAGAAGAATGAGAAGAATGAAAAGAAGAATGAATGAAAGAAGAAAAGAAGAATGAAATGAAGAAGAAGAATGAAAAGAAGAAGAAAAGAAGAAAAGAATCTTTTCATTCTTCTCATTCTTCTTTTCATTCTTCTTCTTCTTCTTTTCTTCTTCTTCTTCTTCTTTTCATTCTTCTTTTCATTCTTCTTTTCTTTTCTTCTTCTTCTTCTTCTTCTTCTTCTTCTTCTTCTTCTTTGAGGATGAGATGAAGAAGAAGAAGAAGAAGAAGAAGAAGAAGAAGAAGAGAGATAAGAAGAAGGATGAATTAAGAAGAATTCCAAGCCGGCAAAAAGTGTATCTGCAGAGCTCCTCTATTTTTCTGACAGTTCTCTGACATTCACATTTACAGCGGTTGAAACATTGTATTATTTGTTTCCATAAATGGAAACAAATAGATACAATGTTTCAACCGCTGTAAATGTGAATGTCAGAGAACTGTCAGAAATAGCGGAGCTCTGCAGATAGAGCGGAGCTCTGCAGATACACTTAGCGGAGCTCTGCAGATACACTTTTTGCCAGGCTTGGAATTCTTCTTATTTTCATCCTACTTCTTCTTCTTCTTTTCTCCTCATCCTCATCCTCATCCTCTTCTGAAGAAGATGAGGATGAGAAGAAGAAGAAGAAGAAGAGAGAAGTAGGATGAAAAAAAGAAGAATTCCAAGCCGGCAAAAAGTGTATCTGCAGAGCTCCGCTAAGTGTATCTGCAGAGCTCCGCTATTTCTGACAGTTCTCTGACATTCACTCATACAGCGGTTGAAAATTGTATCTATTTGTTTCCATAAAGTGTTCTTCATGGAAATGGAAATATATATACAATGTTTCAACCGCTGTATGGAGTGAATGTCAGAGAACTGTCAGAAAAATAGCGGACTCTGCAGATACACTTAGCGGAGCTCTGCAGATACACTTTTTGCCGGCTTGGAATTCTTCTTATTTTTCATCTTCTACTTCTTCTTCTTCTTCTTCATCCTCATCCTCATCTCTTCTTCTGAAGAGATGAGGATGAGGA